AAATAAAAACATTTTTTAATTTTTTTAATAAAAATTAGAGACCATGTAATATACATGTAATGCACAACATGATGACTGTAGCTAACACTGCCATATGGTATATAGGAAAGCTGGTAAGAGTATAAATCCTAAAAGTTCCTATCACAAGGAGAATTTTTTCCCTTTTTTCTTTTTTCTTTCTTTTCTTTTTATCATATCAATATGAGAAGATGGATGTTAGCTAAAACCATTGTGGTAATCATTTCACAATATTTGTAAATCAAACCATCGGGCTGTACATCTTAAACTTATACAGTGATGTATGTCAATTATTTCTCAATAAAACGAGAAAAAAATAGAGACCAGTCTTATCTCAGCCATTGCCAAACTCTGACTGTCAATGAGAGTCTACTACCTCCTTTTAAAATGTTTCTACCCACTGACCTATTTCCACCCCTTACACACACTTCTGGCCCTCTGAAGTTATTGTGCATGTTTGTGGGTTTTCTTTTTAAACTCTCCGTAAGAAATGCAACATACAGGGGCACCTGGGTGGCTTAGTCGGTTAGGCGTCCGACTTTCGCTTAGGTCATGATCTCGCGGTTCGTGGGTTCGAGCCCCGCGTCGGGCTCTGCGCTGACTGCCAGCTCAGAGACTGGAGCCTGTTTCAGAGTCTGTCACTCCCTCTCTCTCTGACCCTCCCCTGCTCACGCTGTCTCTCTCTCTCTCTCTCTCTCTCTCTCCTAGAAATAAATAAAACATTAAAAAAAAAATTAAAAAAAAAAAAAAAGAAATGCAACATACATTTATTTATGTGCATAGATACATAGCCATATGCCCAGCTCAGAGGGAGATCACCAGATTTATGGACTCAGTTCCTTCAAGATGCCTGTACTCTCGTGCTGTATATAACTAGTCTTTCACCCATGTAACGTGAGAATGACCTACTGTGGTGAGTGCAGAAAAAAAGAGATTTTCATTGCAATCGAGGAGGGGCGGAGTAGGAAAAGCAGGGGCAGATGGGAAGGCCCACCATTGCTCACGACCCTTCATCTATCCCAGTAAATATAGCCACCTCTTTCCTAGCTAAAAGGTTTTGACAGTGACTTGATTTATCCCATACTGAGCCCTTTCCCCACACAGGATTGTCTTAGCAAATATTGGAGGATGCCTTACATCCTTCCACAGAGTGAAGATTGGTACCCAGGGGCTGGCCATCTGCCTCGCTCAGCCCCTTCTTTTGTTTAATGGAAAACAGTGACATAGTGAGATGGCAAAAAAAAGGAAAACCTCATGTAAAGAAAGTGACTGTTACTGTGTCTTCACATGTCAACACCACACAGCCTTGTCATGTTTCGGGTTAAAGGTTAGCATCTGCATCTAGGGGACGGAAACTGTATAACTGAGGTATGTCCTGTGAGTCCTCCAGGAAAAAGCTGACTCTTTGGGCCTCCAGAAATGAGCCTAATCAAGAATAAAGTAGGAAAAAAGTTATCAGTGAAAAATGTGAAAAAAAATAATCAAAATTTTAAAAATATAGGTATTTTCGGGGTGCCTGGGTGACTCATTCGGTTGAGCATCTGACTCTTGATTTCAGCTCAGATCATGATCCCAGGGTCGTGAGATCAAGTCTGTCAAACAGGCTCTGAGTCTGCACTGAGAATGGAGCCTGCTTCAGATTCTCTCTCTCTCTCTCTCTCTCTCTCTATCTCTCTCTCTCTCTCTCTCTCTCTCTCTCCCTTCCTCCCTCCCTCCCTTCCTCCCTCCCTCCCTTCCTCCCTCCCTCCCTCTGCCTCTGCCCCTCTCCCCCCTTGCAGGCCCTCTCTCTCTCAAATTAAAATTTTTTAAAAATTTTAATAAATAAAAAAATAAAAATATAGATATTTTCATGATACCTTCCCCCAAAGAGTTCTATTATAAAGAAAGCAAATGTAGACTTCCTCCTTCCTTAGGCAAATATGGTTCCTGAGTGAAATTTTCAATTGAAAGTATTTTTTATGAAAAATAGTAACACATCCAAACAAAACTCACGAGGTCACCTGACAAGTGAAAGGTCATGAGGTTGTGAGACATTTGCTATGTGGGTCCTTGTTTTCATCAGTCTCCAGAGGAAGCTACACCTGGATTTCACAGGGTGAGCACATCACATGCAACCTCAGTCTCTCTGATAACATTCTTAGGCCCCAGGATGGGCAGGTGTTTGTGCTTTTCTACAAGCACTAAATTTCACCGAGATAAAGAAACTGAGAAAGGGAAACTCAGGATCACCAAAGCTAAAATTTCAGGTCTTCCTTCTTCTTTTTCTATCCTATTAAGTTAATGAGGTGGGCTTTTTTGTTTTCTTTTCATATGTGTGTCTGCGTGTGTGTGTCAGTCGGAGTGTGCACATACGCACACACAAACAATATTCACAAGCACTTAGAAGTTGTTCTGGCAAAAGTCTGTAGGAAATGCCCAATTTTGAGCAAAAAATTACTATAAACAACAGCAGCACCCCCCCCCCCCCATCAAAGAAAGAAAAATTCCTCTAGCACTCTTTGAACCTTAAAGAGTGTTTTTATAGGCCGGCTCATTGTTTTTCTTCTCTATGAAAAATTAAAAACAATAACTGTTTTGATGAGTTCTACGGAAAAAGACAGTTTCCATGATTTCATTTCTTGACAAAGAGCGGCTACCTCACTTGGTTTCTGCCACATGTAAGCAAAGCTCCAGCTGTAAAACCTCCCCTCGCAGAAAGGGTTAGGGGACCCCAAAACTTTCGAGTTCTTCCCCATCTGCCCAGGGGAAGCCTGCCTGCCCCTTGCTATGAGAGCGGATGAGTCGCAGGGGTGAGGTGTGGGAGAAGAGATGACTGTCCCCGCCCTACCCCCACCGTGTGCACACAGCCTGTGCTGTCACAGCACATTCAGGGTGGCTTCCGCCCCGTCACCACTTGATCTGGGTTGTCTCTCCCAAAATAAAAAAATAAAAAAAACAAGGTGTGCCTGTCTTTTATAATGTTCCGTTTTAAAGGAGAGAAATCTCTAGGGACAGAGCAGGACCCTAAACGTCCAAGGCCTGGAATTCCTCCTTTCTCTCTTTCCATTTTAAACAGGAAACATTCCCGCTAAGAGGGTCCGGAGGGAGCAGCGGTTGTATGTTCATTTTAAGGCAGATAATGTTTGTGTGTTGCAAATGTCAGTGATTTATCCCAAGGGCTTAAAATGAGTGCAGAAAAACCACATGTTTCACTTCATGCAGAGAAATAGCTTCAGTTGACTTCGAGAGAAAGCACAGGTTAAGGGTTGGTTTTTTTTTTTAAGTATTGCAGACATCTCCAACATGAACCAAAAGGAAATAGAAATGGGGGGGTGCTTAAAATATTTTATGACAAAAGATCTAATGAATGCTGGAAGTTCTCTAAATCAAAAATAAAATCGTAAAGGAGAGAGATGAAACCCTGATCCTTTCTTTCCCAGGGCTGGAGTGACAGGTTATGCATTTGTGCTCTATTTGTCATGGGCAATTTAAAATAGAGCAAAGCAAACTGCACTGAATAATAGCAGTTGATGCTATAATAACTTGTACACAAACAATTTAATTTTTTTATCTGAAAACTCTAACTAGATTACCCGAGCTGAAGGATCTTTCATTATTACATATAGCCAAATTAAGACATAAAAAAGTAGAGCGAGAGTTCTATTGTTAATCCTCATGAATGTGCTCCTATGCTGCCTTCCACATGCACGCACGCTCGGAGCTTGTCAAGCCTTCATTGATTTGGGGAACTTACAGAGCTGTTTTAACATCAAATTCTGCAGATTACAGCGTGGTTTTGACGCTCATTGACAGTGCGTGATTAACCACAGACGCCGTATCCTCACAGTTCTGTCATTTCTTCCAAGTGTTCTACCAATTTGTCCTCTGACATTGAAGAGCTTTTCATTAATTATTATTGTTGCTTTTTTTTCTTTAAAAAATCATAACAGGGAGAGTAGTAGAATGTGGTAATGGTGGTAGTAAATATGTGCACAGAAGGTTTATGGGATTTTAAGAGCTGCAAACAGAACTCATCATTTAACCCCAGGCTAGATAAGATGAAGTCATCTGTACGTTGGTTAGAGAGGTATTGTTTCTGTTTTAGCAAATGGATCAGAAGATGCTTGTTGTCTTAGTAGAGAGATCCAGACAGAGTCACTTTCTGTTAGTGTTTCTTCTTGCCCTGGACCTTTCTCTGTGCCTACTTATTACACAATGCAACTTACAGCTGGTTTGGCTTTTACCACTGTGCTATGGTACTTCTTGACTTTGTGGTAGAATGGCTTTCCATCAAGGTGCTAGGTGGGTAATTCCCAGCTCTGGCTTAGGACTTTTCCTAGCAACTGTAGAGAGGAGAGGGCACATAGGGGTGGGACAGAAGCTAACAGGAGTTAGGCCAAGGCTATGGCCCATGTCACAAGCACCTCACAGACCTAGAAGAAGAGTGAGTACAATCCCCAGAACTGTATAACTCAGAATAACCTGTACATTTCTATCACTACCTGTGACAGGCTTCAGTGAGGCAGCGAAGGGGGCAGGTCAAACGATCCCAGCTTTGAGAGAGCCAAAGTGTGCCTTCTTTACAAAACTAGTGTGGCTAGTATACTAAAGGCCAACATACAATGGTGTAAACCAGACAGAAGTATATTTCTGTTTCATGCACCAATCTGAGTATAAGCAGTCCTGGCTGACATGGTGGCTCTCTGGTGACTCCATGGTGTCAAGGGCTCAGGCCCTTGCCCTCCTGTTACTCCGCCTTCCTCAGCATGTGGCTTTCTCCTTGTAGTTAAAAAAACAGCCACTCCGATGGCCAACAGGAAGGAGAGAGGGGAAGACGAAGACTCCCCCTCTTCTTTGTAAGAGCACACATGACTTCTGCTCCCATCCATGGGCCAGGCCTAGTCAATGACCACACCAAACTACACAGGAGGCTGAGGAATGGGGTCTTCAGGTGGGCAGCCCCCTTACTAGCTACTAATATGTGTCTGTTCTTCTTTTTCTAGGGGAGGACCAGCCGATCCTATAGACTATCTGACGGCAACACCTCGAGGGCTCTACAAGGAAAGGGAGCTTCCCTACTACCCCGGGGCTCATGCTGTGCATCCTCCCAAAGGGAGCTATCCACGCCCCCCGGACCTGAGGCTTGCAGACCTCCGCTATCCTCAGTACTACCCTCCGCCACCGGCCCCCCAGCATAAAGGACCCTTCCGACAAGATGTTCCACCTTCCCCTCCTCAGCACCACAGAGCGCCAGCCTATCAGGAAATGGGTAGACCAGGGCCCCGAGGGGGCAGCCCAGACCAGTACCCCTACCGAGCCCAGGATCCCAGGCAGAAGAACCCCATGACTGCAGCTGTGTAGCTGAATAGCCCCACGCTCAGCTCAGCCCGGCCCAGAAAGGGAGATGGCTAACATCGCCTTGGCCCTTTCTAGACTCCAAGGCCTTCTCCTGTTCAGAATCCTCCACGGCACAGATAGGTCCTTCTCACCGGGGTTGCAACACTTGACTGCTACCCCGAGGGGAAAAGGGGGGGACGGGAGGACCGGGGATCTGAAGGAAGAGAATGGACACGGGTCATGAAAACAGTACTGCCCGAGGTCTGAAATGCTTCTAGAATTGTTCAACTCCGCGAGAGCGGCAGGTGACCAGGCAAATAACAAATAACCATGGAGACATAGCACGCGGCGCCTTCCTGGTGTGCGCGAGCCGCATAATACTGGCAGCGCGGAGACGGCCTCAGAGGCTGCGCCTCGGCCACCTGAGAGTGGCTGCAAATGTGGGCATCGTAAATGAGTAGTTTTCTCAGTGAGAAAACAAACCAACAGCAGACATGACTTGTGATCTCTTTGAAATGTTTATACCCAGAAGAAGACTGCATTTCTCTCTTTGTAGAATTTCTCAGGTTCCTCGTACCACCCATTTGGTATAAGTATTTTACATTTCCTTGCTTTTTATATATAAAAAAATACGATATGAATGCAGTATTCGTGTCCTGAGAGAATGTTTAAAGCTAGCTGGAGCTTCCAGAAGGAATATATTCCAAGGACCAAGGTGATGCGGTTAAGAGGGCTGAAAATCCCCTGGTCCTCACCCTCCTTCCCCCGAGTCCCAGGCATGACTGCATGGAGATACCTGGTTTCAGAACCGTCTCCAAATCTCCTGCCTGTAATTACTGTAACCGAGGCCTCCATGTTAAGGCTCGCACTCGAGGGCTGAAATGTAGCTGGAAAAGAGAGGGCCCGTTGCCTAGGTCACACAGGAAGCAGTGACCTGGAGATGCCAATTCCACACTCAGTGCCAAACAGTGCCATCTGCACCCGGGGAGAGGGAGGGGCTGACTGGGGCCTCTGGACATGATGACCAGGAAGGGGTAGATGGCACTGACTGACTCTGTGTGTGTGTGTGTGTCTGTGTCTGTGTCTGTGTGTGTGAAGGTATGTGATTACCAGTATGGAGAATGTAAGATAAAAATGCTTTCTGGAAAGTTTGATGAGGAAGGAAATAATGAGGGGGAAAAAAATCAGAAGGGAAAGGAAAAGAGGCCTAAAACTAGATCATTCTACATCTGCCGTATTTCATTAACAAAAGTCGAGGCAGCACCAAGGCCAGGCCAGCATCTCCAGTTGGGAATAGAAGGTCTTACGGCTTTGAAAAGCTGACACCCCACCCTCTGAAACCCATCACATTCCCTTTGAGCTTTGCCGTGATTTTCTACTTATTCCAGCAGGACTTCTAAAACTTCCCACCTGACCCAAATGAGAACACAACAAAAGACTGAGAAACAGCAAAACCTGGGAGTAGCCGATTGAATTGTTCAATGACTCTTAAGAGGCTTTAAGCCTTTGCCGCTCCTTCTCCATTCCCTCAAGGAAAAAAAAAAAGTATTGAGTTTAATTTAGACATGTTTGGCTGAGATTAGAATACCTCTGCCTGACAGGACTTAATAAATTATAGTACTATTGAATATAGAGCATCCAACCCAGTTTAGGTGTGTTTTTTTTTTATTTAAAATAGAGTTCTATTACCAGGAATGAAGCAACTGCTGGTTTTAGACATAAATAGTGTTATTTACTGGACTTTAAGAGGTATCATTTTCTAAACTACAATTTACTATAACCACCTTAAAACTAGACTGTCAACTTGGTCTTCTCCACCTGTCATCTCCCTTGAGCCAGGCACCTTAGACTGTTTGCATTGTGTGTATGGAGGTTGAGGGGCTCAGGCCCTGCTCACCTAGAGGTGAAGTGCAGGGGAGCTCCCGGACTTCTCTGCCAACACACTGAATGACACTTTCCCCTCAAACTAAATAAACTTCCAGGAAGAAAATGATAAAGTGAGGGAAGTATAACGTGCTTGGAAGCATTAAAATCAGCTCCTGGGCATGTTGCATTTTGAACCAAATTTCTCTAGGCTATTAGACATAGCCAGGCCAGAGGTCTCCTTCTGGATTGAGACCAAGGTCACACGAGAGGCAGCCAGAGGCAGAGTGAGAGAGTGAGATATTCTGTGCGTGTTGGAGGAGTGGCCCTTGTAGGAAGAATGCCCGTCTATCCCACGTTGCGTAGTACCTCCTCACAGGCTCGGGGCAAGGTGCGCAAAACATGGTTTTGTGCTGTAGGCACAGTCACTAAAACGTTTGCTAATCCTGGGGGGCAGCCAGTGACTTGCAACTACTCTTCAAATGGACAAAAATTAGATGATAACAGTTTTCTTGCTTGAAGTATAACACACGCCCAATTTGACCCTGCCCAAAAGAAGCGAACGTGTGTGTTTCAGAGGCCACGATTAACAACAGCTCGAATGTAAGCTTTATAAATGCCTGTGAACCAATCCTCCCCTCGCCAGCACCCAGAGGCTGCAGACCTCTTTCCCAGTATCTAGGAGAGCTGGTGGCTTAGAGTATTTAGAAGACCAGGCTGTAGTCAGTAGGTGCCCAGTAGCAGGAAGTAGCTCCCCATGTATTTATGGCCCTGGCAAGACTCGATCTGATGCCCGCTTGTAGCTCAGAATACTAATAACTCCCCTCCCCAGCCCACCCAGGACCAGAGTAGCACGGTGAGCTGCAAACCCATCAGCATACACCCACCTGACTCCTGATCTGACTGCTGGTTCATTGAGGCCTGGAAATGATGTTTTGGCCTTGAGTCACGAGATTTTTGAAGGAGCTCTGGTTTATCCCTTTTTTGCAGGAGAGATAGGAAAGGGAGCAGACCACTGAAAACTTTTAGATGCAGGAGAATTCAGTCCTCTGCCGGGGAGAGAAACACTGCATCTCATTAATCCCTTATGCCATTGGACTGTGGCAATATCACTCTTGGTAGAAAATTGGTTCCCCACAATATTAAATCAGTGGATGAAAGGCAATCTCAAAGACAGGAGCATCTTCTTAAATCATAACTGAGTAACAAAAATTGAAAAATAAAATTACCGTGAAGCTCATTATCCTTAGATTTGTAGGTCAGCATGCGTTGACCCCACAGGACAGCATGGAGCAAAGATCTTATAATCAAGAGCATGGGGAGATCCACAGACCCCCTGTGACCCCTTGGAGGAAACCATGCATGCTGCCCAATAAAGGAGGCTGGAAACTTCCTTGTGGCTTTATTTGTGCCACCAACTAAATGAAATTAAAACATGACTCACTATTCCCTTTAAAGATTTGTGAACTTGCTGAACTGTCTTCTGAAGGAAATGTTTCTGACAACTTGAGGAGCTGCCATGCATGGAGCCTATGAGCATAAGGACCCAGCGTTGGAGGGATATTCGTCCCCTATCCTGCAGCCCCAGCATTTGCTTTCTCTGGAGAGACATCTTAGCCTTTCAGGGGGGACAGAGAGATCCACACAGTTTGGATAGAAATGTGTCCCTATAAAATTCCCATAGGCATTAAACTCTGAAATCCTCAGCGGATCTGCCTTCAAACTGGTGCTAAATTGGGTAGACACCCTACTGCTGTTGAGTCCAGGAGCAACAAAAAGTCCAGACTGTGCAATTAGGCAGGAGGCAGTGGGATCCAGAAACAGCCACGGGAGTACTTCTCTGCACTCCCAGTTCCCACCGACTTAGTTTGAAATGATGCCACAATGAGACCAGAAAGAGGAGTCTCCCTCCATAAGATATCCCTACAAAGTCACCTCTCTGAAAAAAAAAAGAGAGAGAATAAAAGATAGATATCTAAAATAAGCCTAGAATCTCATATGCAGGCCACTACTTCTAAGGGAAACTCTTTTCTCCCTCATGTCCTTAAATAGTAATAGAATCACATAGCTCCCGACTTTTAAAGATGGGCTTAACTCCCGAGCCTGGAGTGCACAGTGAACTAACCCCAAAGACCAAGACCGGCTCCTCACTCAGCTCTGAGGGAGTGTGCTCCCCCATCTATGCTGCCCACGGTGCTGTTTACTACTGGAACAGAAAAACAAACCCTACTGTGGATACAGTCACTTCTTCTAGTGTTTTCCTGTGCTTTTCTGACACCAAGTCTGTTCATAAGCTCTGAAGATAAATTATGTGAAATCATATTTTGGCACATGGGGATGGAGAATAAATTCTTCACAGACTTTTTAGGATGATCCCATTTGTACCACAGAAAACAGTTCGGATGTTGTTATATATGAACATATAAATTTTTCTTGTTTTATTTTGCATTAAAATAAAGCTTTATTCATGAAGATACCAGAGTGTTGGTTTTCACTCCCCACCTGTTTGTTTTAGGATTTGATGAATGAATAGGCTGTTCCGGTCCTGATCACCCTTGAATAGCAACGTCATAGGGCAGAGGTCATGAGGGACAAGCCTCTGTCACATGCCGGGCTCCCCAAGAAACACATGGAAGATGGAGACTGTTTATGTGAGAGCATACTTGGGTTCAGTACCCACAGAAGGCAGGGCAAGAAGCAGGGCCGGCCAAAGGGAGAAGCTGAGCAGTGATGCACTCCCAACGTAGGCCTCAGCCAGCTCCACAGGGATACCTGGAGTCACACTGGCCCTTCAGACTTGGCCCAACTTGGGACCAGGGAGCTGGGTCTTTATACCACTGTGTTGGTTGGTAGGTATGAGCTTCTCCTGGAAAGAAACGGGACCCACGACTGGGCAGTTGGGTTCATAGTGGTTGGGAAAATTGTCCTTCGTTCTTGTGGGACCTCAGCTCACCACAGCCTCCAACACTGTTGACCCCTCCTCTGTCATGCTGACAACACTCTTACCTTGTCTATGGAAACATGATTCTGAGTGGGTTCTCCTCCCAACCATCCCTCTGTTTCCCAAGATTCTTCATTGGCTTCTTCCAGGGACTACCTTGCAAGTTTCGCACCGAGGTTTCAGCTCCTGTCTCTGGAGAGGTTTGCTCACAATCTCCAGCTCAGATCTGTCTCCCAGACTCGTGCATTTCCACTTTCCCACCGCTCATCCCCACTCGAGCTTTCCACAGGCCCTCTGGACTGAACGTGCTCAAACTGAAAGCATAAGGTTTCGCAAAACAAGCCTGCTTCTCACGATTCTGACCTGGCCAATGGCATCACCATGTTCACAGTTACCAGTTACAAACCAAAAACCTGGAAATTATCCTTGACTTCCCATTTATAACTCCACCCGTTCCTCCATCTGATAAGATGGAAGGCCAGCAATTCCACCCAATCTGTCCATGCTTCCTTACATCCTGCTTTGGCCCAGCCTCTTGCTTCTCACTTAGCCTCTTCATAGCCTTCTCTGTGATCTCTTGCCTCTGACCGTGCTTCCTTCCCTTTGACCTTGATACTCTACAGGCTCAGCACCTGCTTGGGTAAATAAAATTTGATTGCAACACGTGCATATCAATTTGCCTATATCATCATCTAGAACTCTTTCATGCTACCTACTGTGCCAACCCCTGCTCCAACCTCCCAAAGGGAGTTTTCTGAAGCGGAGATCAGACCATGCTTGTTGCTCTTCCAGCGGAGAGTCTTATTGGAAGACATGGGCTTTGAAAACAGG